AAACTATCTTTTTCTTAATAACTGATGACTAATATTAATGAATAAAACTTGAGCCAAGAATGAAGAAGTTGGAGGCATCGGCTGAAGAGAATGCACCAACCTTCTGCCTGATCAAGGATTCCTGTAGTCAAGCTGTGGGAGAAAATCTGGGGTGGGGTGGAAGAAGAAACTAATTTTTCTTGTTTTGTTGGGGGACTTGGGGTGGGGGAGAAAAGAGGGCATTGGCCATGGCCACATGTATCTTCAGATGACTGAAAACACTGGTTTCTGTCAAGAGCACTACACTCACTTTTACAACAGGAGCCATTGAATGTTTCCTCTTGCTAAAGCCAATGTAACATTTATTGATTTCCAACTTCTCTTACTAATGAGCCAGGAAAAAACACCCTCCTTAAATGAATTGACAGGTGTTCATTGGGTTAGAGTGTTTTTGGCTGTGTTGTCATGGCTACAGATGAAATCCTGTTTGTATGTTACACTGACACTTTTTATTTTCAGGCAACATCTTAAGACTTCTGTAAAGCAGGAGAAGGAATAGTGGAGTTTGGAAGCAGCATATTATCCATCAGCACATCCCATAGAGCAGATCCAATAGGATAAAATTCTCATCCTATCTCCTGCTAACTGCTCAAGGCTGTTTAATTTCAAAATATTACTTCAGTCTTGAATGCTGTTTGCCCTGTTTCACATCAATTATGTTCCATAATTTTGGATCTGTTTGGGTTTTTTTGAATTAGTGGTTGACTGTGGGATTTAGAGTTTAGCAAAGAAGGAAATTTTTTCAATTCTCCTTTTATTTCTGTTTGCATCTCTCATTACCAAAGTCCAGTTCAGCCAACCTCTCTCAGTAAACTGGGAGGCAGCACTAGAAATCAGCACAATAGTTTTCAAAATGTCTTCTTTTGCAAAATAATGTGAAAAAGAGAGGTCTGTAGCAGTCAGATTTTGAGTGCTGGCATCTCTTGAACTTCTAATGAGAGTTTCAGCATGGATTCAGATGGGGCCAGGACCTTACCCTGTGTGTGTCAGGACAGGGTATGCTGCTCTTTTGACTTGACATGCTTTAGATGTTCATGTGAAGTTTTTTTGCAAGGTGAACTGTGCTGTTAAAGCATTAGAAAGAGTATAAGGTCTCTTCAGGGATTTTAAGTATCTTTAGTTTTGCTTGTTGACATTTTGGTCTTTTTCACTGAAAATTAGAGCTCAGAATCATGTCTGTACCTGCCTCTTTTTTTTCCTTTCCTTTTCTTCCTTTTCTCTCCTTTTTTTATGAACGCACATTCAGAGATTCAGAGATTTCTGTAGGTTGCTGCTGTATGCATAGCTGGAGAATTATTTGCAAACGGATGGTAACTGTACCTGTGTGTTCAAGTCTGAAGGTCACAATCTGCATTTTGCTGCTCGCAGAAGTGGGTGAAATGAGTTGCAGATCTGAGCTGAGGGCAGAAGCTAACCCTCAGGGTCGGTATCTTTAACCCAGCTGCCACTAGAATATTTATCTCACTTTTGTAAAGAGCAGATTTTATCAAAGCACTGGTTGTTATTTTCATCTTTGCTTCAGTAACCAAGATAAGAGAGTAATAATTTACCTTCTTTCCAAATTTGCTCTTGACTGTTGGAATGTAACCTCTTCTCCCACAGGTTTTTCTGTTTTCAAACACTGGAAGAGCAATTTTGTAACTTAGGAAAATATTTTACTTGGGGTCATTAATCACTTGTTCTGTCATGCACTTGATTTTTATTTGTGGTCTTTTCAACAAGAGCATTTGAAGGATGACCTGAGTTCTGTCTGTCTCCTGTTAGACTCCACCTCGCTGAATCCTTGTACCCAGACCCCCAACGTTAGTGTGTCATCTTTGTCCCCTCAATAAAACTTCCCTAAGAGAGGGGCTGCAAATCTGTTGCAAATGTTAGTGGAATTTGAAATATGCTTTGGGAACTGAGGAGAGCAGAGCCTAGCCATAACTCTGTTTTCCTTGCTGGGTGTTTTTATACTATGTCTTCAAATACAGTCAGACATCCAAATGCTGATAAAGTTAATTCTGGCTTTTCCCTGTTTTTAACCAGAGGACTGAGAACAGTGTGGGGGGGGTTCTTTTTTTCTTTTTTTTTCTTTTTTTTTCTTAAGTAATTCAGTAATGGGTGTAATTCTTGCTTCCTAGAAAGATGTTACAAATGCTGTATACTTGCTTCCTGAAGATGATAATGAGTATATATAAGTTGTACTGGCTTAGCAGAAGAGGCTTGCAGAGCAGGCTGACCATTGACTATGTTTTATACTTACATTTTGAGCAGTATATTAATGGGCATGACAAGAATTTCACAAAATAAATCCCTTCTTAAAGCTGAGAAGAGGGGAGCTGCTTAGAGAAGAAAGGAATTAATAGCCTTTCTCTTTACAGGATCCTTTTCTCCTCTTAGTGCATGTAACTCCCTATTCAGGATCATGGGATTAGTGCATGTACATCAAGGGGAGAATAATCAACTTTTCATATTTTCTTATCATAACTTATTGGTCATGCTTTCTTTTTGAAAATATAATAAATACATCATCAGATACTTAAAATTTTGCTCTTCTGAACAGACATATCAGTAACCACTTGAAAAACTGAAACCTACAGCAGTGCACAAAACAGTACAAAACCAACACGAATCTCTTAATTTTGAATTTTATCTCTCAAATAGGGGTTTTTATACACACGCGCGCACACGTACACGGAGTATGTATAAATTAAAATGACTGGAAATAGCTGAAGTTAATGTCACTAATGAAGATTAGCAAGTGGATTGGATTGGAAAAGTGAGCATAGATTTTATATCTTATTTTCTTCTGGTTTAATAGAGCATAACTTGTATATTTGACTACCGAGCCCTTTAAGAGCAATAATAAACAAAAATATATCATGCTTTTCGTCTTTTGCTTTTCAACCATGCTAGGTTTAATAAACTTAAAGCTATGGGAGTGTTTCTTCCCTCCACCTTTCAGAATTTTCATTTATTGCTTATTTGTTTGGAGTAAATAGAGTTTTCCAGTATGGACTTGCAAGCTGACTGCCATGGAGTTCAGCATTGACTCTGAAAGAGGAATGGTTCTCAGACTAACATGGACAGATATAGATGTGTGCTCTTGGCCTTGGCAGCACTTGCCATTGTCACCAACAGCAATGTTGCTGCTCTCCAAGTGGGATTTGCAGTTCCAAAGTGGCATCACATTGACCTACATCTGATAACCTGGTGAGATAGCTCAGGGACTGCTGGCCATGTGGCACCTCTGAGTTAGGAAGGCACAAAGAGCCGATGCTAAAGAAGGATGTGGTATCTGAAGGGCTTGGCTCAGTAGGATTACAGTTCTCTCTTGCTCATTGTGGGCTGAATGTGCTCTTGCAATTGACTTTGCATCACTGAGCAAAATATGTCTCTGGCACAAAGAGCATGGGCAATGTTCCTTTGTTCTGCTTTAACTTATCTCGAAGGGCTCTACACTTAATTGCTGACCAATGAATCTGACTGCTGCCTGTGTCCTAATTGCCTGGTATTCACAGGTAAAGTGAGTGTGTCTGCTCACTTCCACGTGGTACCTCTTGTCTCCATCACCCATGTCTGTATATCTGCTCACCTCTATCTTCTGCAGATGGTTTGGTTACAACCTCTTAGCAGGAACTCGGAGCTTTCCAGATCAACCAGTCCTACAGCAGTTGTCTCTCATGGCTGGGGTTTTGTCTTCCTGAATTTTGGCGCTGGTTGACAGCTCTAGGTCCGAAGTGACAGGGTTGTGTTTCTGCTATGTGATAATGCAACTTTGCTGCTTCAAAGCAAAACTTCTAGCAGGGAAGAGACCTCCCCAGGCCTATTCACACAGGCCCTCCCTATCTGACAACAGATCCCTCTGGTGAAAGGGAGTTGGGACAAGATTTTTATTAAGACCTGGAATAATGAGAAAGCAAGGGAGTCACTGTCCATCAGATATTTGCTGAAAGTACTGTTTCTGTCTTGGGACTACCCCAAGACCTGGTTTTGCTTCATGTACCTTTTGAAGAAACCTCACCAAAGTGTTTTATGCAGATGCTGGAGGCCAACAGAGATCAAAGTGAAGAATCCATACCTTGATCTCCTTTAAAGATGGGATGCAGGAGGATAGCTTACAGCATCTCCTGGATGTGCTTCTGTCCCCTGGTGTGAAAGTTCTGATCCCCAGCAGATGATAGCTGCAAGTTCTGCTGTGTGCCCACACAAAGAAGCTCATCCCTGCAATGGGAATGCTGAATTTGTACTCCCACCCAGTGTATCACAGTTGCTTGAACCTTCTGATCATAACAGGCGGCTCCAGAGCTGCTGGTGCTGACTGAAACTGGGATTTGAAGCAGGTGACAGCCATGCTGGGAGCTGTGAGGGAGAAGGAACACTGCAAGGTACATCGCTGGGAGGAGCAGGAACACTGACTGACCAAATTGTTGCTCTGAGAAAACTGAGTGATCACCAGGAGCTTTGCAAAGCAGAGACAACGATGTGAGAGGCAAGCTCTGACTGTAATGCGGATGTGAGATGTCCCTGTGACAATTTACAAAATAACCCTTGCCATGTTCATGTGATTTGGGTCAGAATTCCGCTTAAGGGCTTGTTTCAGATGGGGGCTCTCATTCTGACCTGTTTGTCTTTGAGGCTGGTTTATCTGTCTCTGCAGCAAGATGCTTGCAGGCTGTTGGTTGTGTGTTATTTACCTGCTGTGGTTTGGAGTGACAACATTCTGGAAGTCGGCATTACAGGATCTGTGCCAAGTGTGTTAGCCACCAGAAAAAGTCATGAAAATATTTCATACTTCAGAATTGGGAAGACATGGGATTGGCATCTAAGACAAACATGTTTTTCTGATCCTTGGCCTCTCTAGGCTTTTAGAAAGCTGCCTGTATTTCTTAAAATGTTATACCTGTAGTTACCAGCCACCATTCAGTTTTTGAAATTGTAAAGAAGAAGGATTATTTGTGCACATTCATTGTTATTCCTTAGTGTGGGGGCTACCACTACCAATTTTCAGTCTTACACAACTTTTTTCATTTTGGCCAGCGTGCATTCTTAAGGAAAACACAATGAGTTACTAATTACTAAAATACAATTTGCGAAGGAAGGAAGAGTAGGTAGCAGAGCCTAATCAGGAATTAAATTTTACTCCCCGAGGCATGAGTGGGTTCTGTGTACCTCCTTTATTCCGTGCATGTGCATCTGTGCAGAGAGCCAGGCTGTGTCCCTTCGTGTCCCTTCGCTTCAGCTGTGTCCGGGCTGTCCCTTGTGACATCTGAATGCTGAACTCACCTGAACGCCCGGCGCCTCGCTCACTCCTCACATCACCAGCAAGTACTGTAGCTTTAATCAAAACCTCTCCGAGGAAACTCGCCCTCCTTAAGCTGATTGTTGTGTTGCAAACCTGCCATTCGGAGGGAAGTGTAAGTCACCAGATGATCATTATTAGCCAAATCTAACGAGTAATAAAACTGTATACAGGGTATGCATTTACTGTGCATGTGTATATATTTTTGTACGTTTTTACAGTTATTTCGTACACTTGATTTTATGATGTTCAGAAGAAGTGTGTCTGAATCTGGTGAAAAATAAGAAGCTATTAAGAAAACCCAACCCTGTCACCTACTGTAGTTTTTACAGAGACTGTGCCCAAACAAATACGCAGATTTACAGTGCTATGCAAATTTTACTTTGTAAGTTGTCTCTTAAATTTTGCTTAAGTAGTCTATGCTGTTTTTACTGGGCTTTCAGAAACAAAGATGAACGCAAAAGCCTTGTCTTGTAAAATAAAATAGCTTTGGCTGTGTGAAAGGACTGTATATTAGAATCTCATTCACACTTTCAGTTGTTTATTTAACTGTATGTGATTTTGTACATATTGTGATGGAATAGAGGGGGTTTAATTGTGCTTGAATGAAACAGGGTGACTGCCCAACATCTGGGTTTTTTCCAGAGTTTATTGAGCAGGCCATAATGGAACTGCAAGATCTGCATCCTTCTCCTACTTGCCACTCTGGTGTTTGTAACTAAACATGCACTAAGGGCTATTTTCAATTTGCTTTGGTTGGTTTTATTTCCATTTATGCTTTTTGGTCTCAGTCCTGCAAACTGACCGATGTGAGGGCCACATGTCTGCAGCAATAACATGGATGATTGTTTTGTGGGGATGGGAGGCAAGAACAAGATTAATCCTATGGGTATTCCCTGCACAAAGCCAGTCCTTGAGAACTGCAGAGGGATGGTTCACTACCGAGACACTTATAGCAGCAATATATACAGTTTTTGCATGGCTCCTCCAAAAGATCAGAATGGGGAGGGAAGTGTCTTCCTTTCCTGAAGAATTCTCCAAAGTAACCCCAAAGCTGTATAATAAGTTGAGACTGCAGCAGGGTAGAGTGGCTGTACACAGAGATACTGTAGATTAAACAAATTTGTCAAATCTGACATCTTTTAAGTGTTTATTTTTCACTAGAAGACAAAACACTTCCTCTTGTGTACACCAACATCATACGCTGTACCTTTATACATGCTCTGTCCTCTGGGCCATCAGCTCTTCTTTTGCCTATGTGATCCATTAGTAAATGATATTTGTGTCATAATATCACATTCCTGGGTCATCTTTTTGCTACCCAGCAAGCACTGGGTTCTTGGCTTCTCCTGCAGGTTTTTTCTTCCTTGATCTGTTCCCCTTTGAATAGTCTAGGTTGGGCTGAGCTGCCTTCAAATGACAGGTGAGTGGTGTCGTGTGTCACTGTGTGAGAGGACCTGGACCTATTTTTTGTGGAGAGGATGGGCTTCCATTTTAAGAGTATGCAAGCAAAAACTTTCTTGTGTTACCTTTGAGTTCTCACAAATAACAGCTTTTCTTACCTCAGTGCCTCTGCTGGATCTCCTTGGATCCATAATTCATTTTTAGAGGACGATGATCTTGATGTGGAACCAACCACTGTCAGACATCTCAACTACACCTGTAAGAAGCAGTCAGCAGCGGGGTTTATGGGCAAGGGGAGGTCAATGGGGCAGTGTGTCACTGCAGTGTTTGACAGCCAGGACTGCATAAAGGAGCTGTGGAAATGGAAGAATACATTTGCTGCATGGATGAAGGCAAAGGGAATGTTGTTAGGTGGTTTGTTTCTGTGCTAAGCAGTCCACATCACAGTGACCTTTAGGCTGTGGGAGCTTCTTACACAACCTCTCTTTAAGTTGCAAACACCGTTGGAGGCTGCTTGTGGTGGTGGCATTTTCTGTATGTAGTTTCATCTTACTAATTCCACCCTTTTTCTTCCAATACTGCATTAACATGTTTGGGAAAACAGCCTGGAATTCCATGAAAGCAATGCTGTGTTCTCAACAGCAGATACAATCAGCTGCCACACTGGGAGCAAGTTCATGGTTCAGATGTGCCACCCTCCTGAGTGCTGCTGTGTTGGGCAGAGGCTTTTGGGGTGAGGAATAGGCTGATACACTTTCTACATGCTTCTAAAACTGCAATCTGTTCCTGAGAGGCTTGACAGAGTGCCTCTGTGAAACTGAACTTTGTGTAACAGGATTTTGTAGGTGGATACAAGGTTCCTAGCTGTGGCATGGGTTAATGAAAGGCTCTCCCGGATTTCATCACATCCTATATTGTATGTCAGAGTCCTGCGCTCTCTGCCCAGGTTCTTTTAGCCATCCTACACGTGGAGGGGATAATATTTAATTCCCCTCGGGGTCATATTTAGACCACCAGTTGATCCACTCAGCTGTTGATGTGAACCAAAGGCCACCCCTGGTCCCTGTTGTGCAGAGCTGAAGTCAGCTGGCAGTGCCACAGCTGTGGTCTGTCACGCCCCACAGCAAGGGACCTTGGCAGGCCTGAGAGGTGGGGCTGGTGTGAACATAGTCAAGTTCAACAAAGCGAAGTACAAGGTCCTGCATCTGCCTTGGGGCAATTCCAGACACACCTAGGGGTTGGGCAGGGAAGGGATTTGGAGCAGCCCTGCAGAGAAAGACTTGGGGGTGATAGCTGATGAAAAACTCAACCTGAACTGGCAGTGAGCTCTCAGAGCCCAGAAACCAACCCTGTCCTGGCCTCCATCAAAAGGAACATGGCTGGGAGGCCCAAAGAGGAGATCTTCCACCTCTATTCTGCTCTGGTGAGACCCCACCTGCAGTGCTGTGTCCAGTTCTCCTGTCCCAGACATAAAGATGTGGAATTGTTGGATGAAGTCCAGAGAAATGACACAAAGTTGCTCAGAGGACCGGAGCACCTCCACAAGGACAGGCTGGGACAGTTGTGGCTGTTCAGCCTGAAGAAGAGAAGGTTCTGTGGAGACCTCAGAGAACCTTCCAGAGTCTGAGGAGGCTACAGGGAAGCTGGAGAAGGGCTCTGTCAGGAACTGTAGTGACAGGACAAGGAGTGATGGATACAAACTGAAAGAGGGGAAATTTAGGTTAGACAGGAAGGAATTCTTTACTGTGAGGGTGGTGAGACCCTGGCACAGGTTGCACAGGAAGGTTGTGGACACCCCATCCTGGCAATGTTCAAAGCAAGGTTGGATAAGGTCTTGAACAGCCTGGTCTAGTGGGAGGTTCATCATCAAGTGATGATCTTTAAGGTCCATTCCAACTTCTTAAAATTCTATGATTCCACTATTCATTCCCCATATGCATCACCCTCACTGATCTTCACTGAGCCTTTTCTCCTGCTAGGGGTTATGGGTAACCCACAAAAATATATATGTTATCAATACATTACATGAGATACATGCGCATATAGAAGTCCCCTGTACTGCCAACATCATTACGCTCTGCTGTGATAAAGGTTTGTGCCAAAGGGACAGCACTGCTATGATGAGCTGCTGGGGCTAGAGCTGGAATTGTGACACCTGAGCTGACGAGCCTGGAGCAGGCATTTCTGCTCTCTGCTGGAAAGACAAAGCCCATAGTTTACCAAGGCATTTGCTAGAAAGGAGAGTGCCAAAAGCAGGGTGCCAAAAGCAGGTGCCCTGTGCCATGTGTGGTCACTGCCTCAGTGCAGACACAGCACATGACTGATGGGATACAGGCAGCAGTGCAGGGCACACCTCGCTCTGAGCACTGCTTATTTTACTTTGTTGCGCCTTGTGGTGTGAACTGCCTTTGTTTTTCATCTTGCTGATGTCGGGCAACACTTGCAAAAGCCAAATTCAGCGCTGGCCTAGTTGTGACACCTCTTTTTTTTCCACTTATCCAATGAAGTTAAAAGTAGTTAAGTGCTAGTGGTTGCTCCATTTATAAGGAAGATCATTAGAAGAGAGAAACCAATAGTTTAGGAACACATACAAATCTCCTCCCACCTTTGCTGCAGTGAAATATGAATTCCACAAGTATTTTCAGGAAAATGCTAATTCCTGTTTGCTTCCTATCAGCTCAGAGCACCTCGTCAAAGGTAGGAGACTGCTGTCCTTTGCCTCTGTGCAGCAAAGCTGCTTTGTAGGTGATAAAAGTAGGGTCCTCTGCTACAGAGCTGAGCTGATCCCCTGAGGCTCACTGGGGGAAAATCCTTCTCTCTGAGGTTACTCCTCTCTTCACACAATTGCTGCAAGTGTCATGTTTGACCAAACAGGGATGACTTCTTTTAGGCACAACTGGGCTTTCTCCCAGCTGTGAAAGGCTTTATTTTAAGCAATTGCACAAAACAGAGGAATAGGGAAAATACAATCAATGCTGAATGGGCAGGCAAAACTCTTTCCTGTTTTGCTACTTTCTTCTTCTCATGATCCACTCAGCACATGATTGTGTGATTCCCATCATTTAGTTTTACATTTTTTAAGTTTTATGGCAAAATTCTGATTTTTTAAAATTTAATTTATTGTTTAAGGATTTTAAAGTTTTCAGTATAGAGCATATATTTGGATTACAATGGCATAATCTGCCAGAAGGATGCACTGTTTCCTCTTCCTGCCAGCAGGTAGGTTCAGAGCAAGACTCTCTAACAGAACACCATAAAAGAGTTTACTGACAAACCCCATATTTCTTTCCAGATTAATTTAAAGGATGGAAAATACCTCAAACTGCTAAGAAATGCTTTTATGAAAAGGCTTTTGAATATTCTTCAGCTGTGAGCTGTGGACAAGACACAACCCTGTGCTGCAGGCTGAAACTCTACATTTTTGGGGAGGTTCACACCAGGGTTAGTTCCCTGCTAGATGGGAACAAAGAAACCACATCCCCCCAGCACCCCTGGCCCAGAACTCCAGTAAGATTAAAAAGGCAGGCAAGGGAAACCTGCAAATTTGTTATTTCCTGAGAGAGTGCACTCTTTTGCTGGCAGCAATGCAGGAAGGCAGCTGGCCTATCTAAATTAAGTACTGCACATAATGGAACATAAATTATTGTTGTTAACTCCAAAGCAATAACATGGTTAAGGAGAACAAATTGCAT